CTTGCAAGCTATGTCATGCAAGCTTTTATTTCCTCCTATCTTTTTCTGTTTTTCTACCCGTAGCAATTGCTGTTGATCGCTCCTATGCAGTAACTCGACCTTTTCATAGGACATCAATTTCTCGACACATAAAAAATGTAATTCTAACATTATGGATATTCTCACTTATCCTTTCGGCACTAGTTTTTGCAAACGGGCGCCTAAAGACTAATAAGAAATCCTACTTGTGTCATACACGTAGCCCCCTGGAATATTCCAATGGGAAAGAGTTGAATGTTGCTTTTGGCATTTTCATACACAAGAATATGTATCAAACTATGGTCACGTCAGGCACCTGGAGAAGGAGCCAGTCAAAACCAACGTCAGCATTCTCTTCTCAGATAAAGTTTCCGTTAGCCGACCAAGGTGATAAACGTTCATCAAAATTTTTCGGTTTTTAGGTATTGTTTATTCATTTGGTCCTCATTGCATAGTATTGTCGAAGGAAGATTTTCAGGATGTCAACACAGTAGAGTTTTGACTGATTATGATAGGGTAACAGAAGGAAGAAATGAAAAAGCATTATCATTGTGCGTGGAAAGTCAGTTTGTCTCGGCCCCCTATTGAAATACGTTCTTAATAGGATTAATATTTTTAAAGAAAATGTAAAAGCTTTAAGATTCCTTCTAAATTTTTAATCAGGACGGCTTCGAACAAATTCGAATGGCCCAGAACCTTAAATGGCCTTGGCTGTCAAATTTAGAACCTTTAATTATTGCTGTATTACTCTTCTTCCCTCAATAATTCAATGTTATTGTCAAGATGATATATTGAAAAACCCAACTTACCCTTATCTTTTCTGGATGTATTCATGCACACGAGCGGAACATAGAACAAATAAATGTCTCAATATAATTCAAAATACCAAATGCTGCATGTTCTGCCGAGTAAACAGGCAAATTATTATCATAAAAGTTTTTACAGTCAAAGCAGAGAAAGTCATGATGATCAATCGATCAAACTCCAACTTCAACCTCCACCCTATGTTAAACAGCACCAACGAAACGAATTAGGTAGACTTTGATGTAAATAATCTAACATACTTTGCATATGGCAGAATATTTCTGGTGTCGCCGTTTTGAAATTCTTTTATTATATACATCATACGAACAGAAGACTAAAACTCATTTAACTTAAGCCAAACTTACACCGATCTTTTAATCACATTTATGTTTTATGTGGATACTTTTCGTGTCAATTCCTACGATGGACTGTGGTTCGGAGGAAACATGGGAAGTATTATTTGCAAGCTGTATAGTAACATGCAAGCTCTTATTTCCACGCAACTTTTACTCTTTTGCTACTAGTAGCAATAACTGTTGATCGGTCAATGCATTACCTCGACCTTTGCATTGGACGCCGATTGCTCGACACATAAAAAGAGTAAATAATGGTTATGTTGTAGTAATGTTCTTTCATTCTTTTGACAAATGTTTGTGGTCACATGAACGGGGACACAAAGAAGAAATCTTACTTCTGTCATTTTCAGCAACTTCTGGAGTTTTTTGAATGAACAACATTTAACATGACACCCCAAGCTGCTCGCGTTTTCTTCTCTTTAACTCTTTTAGCAATTCTGTGCATAAGAATGTGTTTGGCCCAATCAGGCATACGGAGAAGGAGCCACTCACCACCGAGCACCCCTGACATCCTTGTAACTTAAAATATTTTTTATACTTTACTAGGCGGAGATACAACCAATGACGTTTCTTTCATATAACCATTCACTCCACGAATGTGAAACCATTTTCAAGAAGAAAAAGGGGATGAGAAGTGAACAAATTTATCAACTTACACAAAATATTTGATCTAACACTAAAACCTCAGATCAAATGTCATAAGAAATTCGTTGCAAATGAAAGGATAATCATGCAATCTTCAGACTGGCCGTGGGAAGAAAAGGGTAATGATGAACATGAATTTGGAACCGTGGGACTTCTTTTCCCATGAATAGAATGTCATTGAATGCTTTTGAGGGAAACGAAAGGTTGAGTTCTCTTAAAATCAACCCAAAATAAAATTTCAATAACATATATAATAATTATCCCAATCATAAATCGGAGTGGATTAGACTGACTTACGGTGAATTAACGTGAGTAGCGGGGAGTGAGTCGGGGTAACTAGAGGTGGTTTGAGGTGGATAGGGATAAATTATGATGGCTTGCACAATATTGGAGTCGGTTAAATTAGCGGCGATTGTGATGTTGCTCCTTTTGAACTTCAGAGTACAGAATTTCATCGAGTTAAAGGAGAAATTTGTTGTGATCTCAGGCCATTCATTGCGAAGGTGAGTGATACGCTTCTCAAGCAATTGTCACTCGCTCACTCCTCCTCACACAAGACTTCCCGAGGCTAAAATGAAAAATTTTTGGATATTTTTCGCTCTAATACTAAGGGTAGCCCTAGCAACATCAAGCTCTTGTAGCGGCTATATCTGCACTTGTGTTTGGATAACTTACAAGTAGCAAAGACATCGTGTAGAAAACCTCTTGCAAATTTACAAATTTTAAAACTGAAATGAACATCTCATTTTGGGAGCCTACTTTACTACAGCTGTCTCCGCTAGGTAGCGAAGTTAATTAAAATAAATTTCCAATTAAGGAGGATAAACAACAGAACAAAAGAACGAACCCTTTCTTCTTAGATTTAATATTATGTGTCCATCATTCAGGAAAGCGGATGGACTAATACAGGAAAGATTCATCATTTATTAGTTGTATAGCCCTATTTACATGTACAGATCAATAGTGTATATAATAATATATATAATAATCATCAAGGAATCTACAAATGACTGGATAAGGTACTTCGAAAAATAAAAAATAAAATTCTGTTAATGTCGCCCAAAACGAGAGCAAGTACAAGGTAAAGACATATTCTATTTCTTTTGATTAAGTTGAGGCTCATTGTTCAAAGTACAAACAAAAAAAATTTGTCAGTTTCAACGGAAATGCGCAAACATCAAGAACTCTTGGTGATTTGATGATCTCACTATTGATAAGATGATGTATTGACCAAAAAAACTTCTCCGCGGCTCTTTAGATGTATCCAGGTGTATTTCCTTCATTCATCGTATTTCATTCTATGAATGACATAAACAAATGAATACCTAACATACATAAAAAACACTACTGGTTTTATTTCTTGCTTGTTCACACCTTGTTCATTATTTTTCCAAAGATTTGAACAAAGCGACTGAAACGAATTCTGAAGTCCTTAAAATCCAGATATCGAAGAGAAAAAAAAAACAAGAACAAGAAATCATCAAGGGAAATAATTACCGTAAGAGTTTCTAAAGTCAAATCAGAGAAAAGGGCCATGTTGACTAATCGATCAAACTTCTACTTCAACTCTATCTTAATGAGCACCGAAGAAAAGGTGGAGATGGATTTTCATGCTACTATTCTAACTTACTTTGGATACGGTACAATATTTCTGGCGTCGCTTGTCGGTAATTCTTTCCTTATACACATTATACGAACAGACACATCCATGAAGACTGCAATCAATTACTTGATTTTAAACCAAGCCTGCGTTGATCTTCTCATTCCATTCATGCATTTAATGGATAATTTTCGTTACAGTTCTTATCATGGATCGTGGTTTGGAGGAAATATGGGTCATATTACCTGCAAGTTATATCTTGCAAGCCTTTGTGTCCTCCCATCTCTTTCTATTTTTCTACTTTTAGCAATTGCTGTCGATCGCTTTTACGCAGTATTTCGACCTTTTGATAGGACGCCGATTTCTCGAAACATAAAAACAGTATTTCTGTTTATGTGGACATGCTCACTTGTTGGTCCGACAGCCGTTTTTGCTAACTGGCACCTAGAGACTAAAAATAACTCTTACTTCTGCCATTCGAGGATCTTTTTACGACTTGGTGAAGGGAATAAATTTTATGTCATGTCATTACTCCTTGGCGTCGTTATCCCTCTCACGCTTATGGCAACTCTATACACGAGAATATGCATCAAACTATGTTCACGTCAGGCACCCGGAGAAGGAGCCAGTCAAAACCAACGCCAGCTCCAAATTATAGCGACAGCAAGAAAGGTTACTATGATGATGATCGCAATCGTTGTTTTATTCCTCATTTGCTGGGTTCCTTTCTATATTTCGATGGCACTGTTATATCTTGGCTTTGGGCAAAACAAGGCAGTTTTATTTTCAGTTTGGTTAACAGTCTCTTACAGCGGCATTAATCCTTACGTTTATTTCGCCTTCAGTACAAAGTTTCGAAATGGATTGAAACATCTGTTTGGAAATATTCATGTTTTTCCCTTTAGATCCGTGAGTATGGAGCTTCACCAAATTTAGCATATATATATAAATTCTTTCCTTGCAGCTCTTAGGTGAATTTGCCAAATACTACTGACGTTTCTCTCAATTAACACTTTCTCACACACGATGACTTTCTCCCTACACTGAAATGAAAACGTTTTCAAGAAAAAAAGTGACGGGAACTAAAAAAAATACTATTGCTTGATATAGCATCAAATCCTCGAATGAAAAATTATAAGCAGTGCTTAGGGATCAGAGTGGAGAATTAATCCTAAAAATGAAAGGATGATAGTTCCCATAGATTTGGAATTTTAGGGTATTCTTTTCCTTGTCATAATTTCTTAGTTTCCCATCGCGGGAAACGAAAGGACGAGGTGTCCTGAGGTTGTTTTGTATATCAAACTGAAATAAAATCCTTAGCATAGTTAAAATAACCATAAATTACTATTCCAATAATAATAAAACGTAGCAATATTAAAGGGCAAATTTTGTTCTTTCGGTGACTGAATAACGCTTTTTAAGCAATTGTCACTTTGCACAGTGGAGTTTATTATATGCTACCCTCAATAGCGGGTCTCATTCTCTTTATTTTTCATAATACAGTTATTATCTCCTTAAAAATATATTTAGATATTTTGTATAGGCCCGTGTAGGTGCTCTATCCGCAGATTTTTTTGGATAAACTTGACGTCGCAAAACCTTGTTTTTGAAATCTCTTGCAAATTTATAAAATTTAAAGCAGAACGAGTCTTCTTTGTAGGAGGTAAATTTGCTTCAGCCGTCAACATTGAATATAGAATGTCACTGGGAATAAAACCTTCAATAAAGAAGCATAAATCAACAGAACAAAAGAAAAACAACTTCTTTGTTAGAGTGAATATTAAATTCAATACTTTATCATTCAGTAAAGCTGAAGAACGAATAAAAGAAAGGATCATAATCGATGAATTAAAGCACAAAAAAAGAAAATTGTTAATTCAAAGTGAAATGCAAAATGAATATACATCCCTCAGTTACTTGATGATCTCACTATTGTTAAACACAATTTTTCCACAGATTCTTTATTGAAGTGAAGCACAAAAGAGGAATGAAGTACAAACAAATATCAAACATACCTAAAAAAAAAAACCAAAAGATTTAATTTCCGGTGGAGTCACACTTTAAAAATTCGTTTTTCAAAGATTCGAACAAAGGAAGGACTGATTACTTGGTCCACGGCCTTAAAATTAACGAGGAAAACGAGGAAAAAAGGAGGGGAAGAACTACCATAAAGGTTTCTGAAAGTCAAATCAGAGAAAGCAATGGTGATGATTGACCTCTCAAACTCCAACGTTCATCCTTAAACAGCACTGACAAAGCGGCAGAGATGGACCCCAATTTTGTTGTTCGCTTGCATCAGCACAATATTTCCGGTGTCACTAATTTGAAATTCTTTTAATTATATACATAATACGAACAGACACGTCCACGAAAACTGTTATAAATTACTAGATCTTAAGTCAAGCTAGCGCTGATCTTCTAATCATATTCGTGTTTATAATGATGCTATTCGTGTCAATTCTTACCACGGATGGCGTTTAGAGGACATATGAGAAACATTACTAGCAAGCTACATGGATTCATACAAGCTCTTAAGTCCTCAAATTTTTTCTATTTTTATACTGGTGCCAATTGCAATTGATGACTTTTACGCAGAAACTCGACCTTTGAATGAGATGCTGATATCTCACAATATTAAAAAAGTAATTCTGACATTGTGGACATGCTCACTTATTTTTTCGCCACTCGTTTTTGCAAACAGGCACCTCGAGACTCAGAAGAGATCTTTCTTCTTTCACACGCCTTTAAAGTTTGATAAAGGTACAAAAGTTAATGTTAAATAGTTGAAACTTACCATTGCCATCCCTCTGACACTTTTGGCAATTCTATACACGATATTGTGCATTTAACCATGGTCACGTCAGGCACCTGAAATAGAAGCCAGTCAAAACCAACACCCACTAAAAGTTATAGAAACAGTAAGGAGGGTTACCCGCATAATGATCGCAGTAGTTATTTCATCCCTCACTTGCTGGGTTGCTATCTATATATTGATTGTACTCTTGTATCTTGGCCGTGTAAGATACAAAGCGGTTTATTTCCAGTCTAATTATATCTCTCAAAGCGGCTTTAATCTTTACGTTTATTTCGCTTGTAGTGAAAACCTTAAGAGATGGATCGAAAATTTTGTTTTGAAATAATTGTATTTTCCGTTTTGATCCGAATGTATGGAGCTTTAGAAAATGTAGCGTTTGAAAATTATTTCTTACTTACGGATACATATTACGAAAGGAAAATCGTTTTGGACTATGTGAGAAAAATTGAATAAAAGTGTAGTGGCAAAAAAGCGGCGTTTAAGACGCGAAGGGCATGTTTTCTTTCGCACTTTTATTATTTTCATGTCATTATTCCCCTCTTCTCGGATGACGATTTCCGACAGCCGACCATGGTTCATCAGAAATGTTTTTGTTTGTTTGGTTTTGGTCATTTATTTGGTTTACACTGTGTATTTTATGGAAATAAGATTTTCAGAAGATCAACATGAACGAGTATTGACTCATTACGAAAGGGTAAAAAATTAAAAAAAAAATTAAAAAGCTAACTACAAAGCATTATTTACTGAGGATGCAAGGTCAATTTGGTACTGCCCCTTTCTGAAACAAGTTTTGAACAAGATTAAAATGTTTAAAGAAAATGTAAAATACCTCTAAAATTTCTCTCTAACTGTTAATCAGGACGGCTTCGAACCAATACAAATTGCTTAGAACCTTAAGAGGCTTCAGCTATCAAATCTATAATCTATAATTATTGCCAGTTTATATTATATTTTTCTCCGATTATACACAATTATTGTCAACAGATGATGAATAATAAACACAACATAACCGCGTCTCCTTTGGATTTAGTAATGCATATGAGACGAACGAAATACAAAAAAGTGTCAGAATATATACCAAAATACAATCTGCTGAATTTCTTCGAAGGCAATTCTGAAAAAACTATTATTTTTCGACGATAAGAACTTTGCAGGAATAGATTATTGGCTTCAAAATTCCTTAGACCGAAAAATTCAGGGATTGGGAAGAAACAGAAAATACAGCAGCATTAATCCTTACGTTTATTTCGCTTTTAGTACAAAGTTTAGAAATGGATTGAAACCTTTGTTTGGAAATATTCGTATTTTTCCGTTTAGATCAGAGGGGATGGAGCTTTAGCAAATATAGCATCAATATAGATAGTGTATTCTCCAAGCCCAGGTGTCACTATTGTAAAATCCCATTTTGTCAGGGTGGAACGAAAAAAAAGCGTGATACCTTTTTCAACGTTTTGACGTGGTACCTTGTAAAATAAAAAGCGTAAAAAAGCGTATAACCCTAACTAACAATGAAGCGCTTCGGCTACATGTCAAAATTATGTTCTTTAGCACATTGTATACTTCATCTTTACATTCTTCATCTTTACATACTTCATCTTCTCGGATAAAGTTTTTTTGGGTTTGTTTTGTATTGCCTATGTGTTCTATCTTTACGGCAAAACGCGGTTTTTAGGAATTCCACTTGGACTACCATCGACAACAATAACGAAGGGCAAAAGTGAAAGAAGTCACAAAAACAAAAAAGCTGATAACTCTAAACCATGATTAACTGAGGATGTGAAATCAAACTCGTCAGAGTGTTGCTACTACTCCAAGGTGAATCAAGTTATCAATAAAGATTAACTTCAAGGAAAGAATTGTAAATATCTGGAAAATTCGTGCGAGATTTCCAATCATGATGGGGTTGGCGGTTGCTTACAACTACGAAACACGAATGGCTATGACTGAAATATTTTACACATAGTGTTATTATCGATGTACATCACTTTTTTTCCTTATTACATCCTACAAAAATACAACATCATTCAATAGAAGGGCATAGCATCAGTCTTAAACGTCCTTTGTCCTCTCCACTTCTTTATTGTTGGTACTATTCTTCACTGTATAATCTCGCCTTAAATATAATTATATCATTGACACCACGGTTTTTTAGAGTGCAACGAAGTGAAGAAATAGAAGAAAATGATAAAAAGTTGTCTTCTGATGTCGACACAAAAAAGTGAAGAGTGAGAGTTTCCACATACGAGGGACTTAGCAGCTAAAACATAGAGGAAAAAAGTCATTTCAAGGTTCTCTTGCTTAAAATGCTGAAATGTAAACAACTTCATTTCTGATTCACTTTATGACTTTTTTTTACTACTTTCAGATTATTTTAAAGACAATATAGGAATAAACACAACTTCCATCTTTCATGTACGGAAATTAAATCAATCAACTGTCTTTTCAAAAAACAGCGATCTTGCTTTCGAAACCACACCTGCTACACTCTCTGCTATCTGTGAGTCAAACTTGTTCAGTAGAAAGATGTTTTGTGTTCAACAACGTTTGTATTCATTGAGGGAGCTTATCAAATTTAACTAATTTCCCAAATCCTTGAAATTCAATTTTGGCAGAGAGGAAAGCAGCAGACTTGATGAACACAATTTCAAGATGAGAAAAGGTTAAATGAAGCTCGAAAAGAAGATTAAGGACAATTTTTTCAGCCTCTTTCGAAAAATTTTTAAGATTCCATGTATACGAATTCATAAATTTTCAATCAACTTTGCTCCTGCTTTTCATGCAAAACTGATCAATTTTAACGGTAAATAGTAAAAAGAAATTCACTACAGTAAAAAAAAATAATCATCAGGAATGGATTTCCTCACAAGGAAGGTAATAAATCCGCGTCAATCACGCACAAGCAAGAAACTAGGATTTCATCTACAACATCTTATGGTAAACTTTCGGTTTAGTAAATTATGCGAGGCGCGCAACTTTCTTTCTCGAGCTTTCATCTTCGCAACTCGACCATTCGAATTTGCTCTCTTGGAACTTAAGGATTGTTTTAAGAATAGCGGAAAAATATCAAAATCAGAGGAAACAAAACAATGCTGGAAGATTTTGCTTAAAAGTAATTAAGGGA